AAATGTAGTGGGAAAAGGGATGTGGCGAGAACTGGGATAGGGATAAGGTTAATGTATTGACAGGGCAGGGCGCTGCTGTTTATGCCAGCTAGTTATCCATATGTATAACGTATTAGCATTATAAATGATATGCATGTAGACGTATCATTCTCGGACATACCCTTACTTAGCTTGAAGCTTCTAATTTCTCCACTTAAAAGACACTGAAATATAACACACAGATATCAATAATCTCACTACTTTCAAATTTTCTGAAGAGTTCTTGAAACATGAACTGAATGGCACAAAAAGTCGCAATCGACTCGGCCAGCATAGGACTACGGAGATTGATTACAGTTGTAAGCTTTTTATTGCTAGATCAAAAAAGAGAAGACCCTTAATCAATCGATATGGCCTCGGGATAATGATGAAAAATCTTTTGTTTTTAACATCTTAAGACCTGACAAACTTAACACGGTTAGCATTGCCGAGACGCTGCAGTAATCGGATATGCTGAAAAAAACAAGACTGCAAAGACGGGTCCGTAAACTGAGCATGCATGTCTTAAAACAATATGGTCGCATCTCTCAAGTTTGAAATATCTTCTCTCATTCTTCACGTATACCACACTGACATTTTGAGTACGTTTAGCAGAAGTAATTACAAATTATAACACGTCCTCGGATAGGTGCTGATAAAAAATCACTGATGTTTGCGATTTTTACAGGCTCAGCGAAAGGCGACGACAATGTCGAAACTTAATAAAAACTTATCATTAACTATGAGTACAAGGGCGCGCTTTTTCTGAAGTCGACCGACCTAAACAAACCAAGAAATTTAGCGACTGAACGACGCTCTACTATCCTGCCCTTACCTAAAAGCATTGTGTGGAAGAATAAGAATGATACATTTTGCGAGGCACTGTGGTGCGACCGAGCTGCTTAACACATTGACGACCATGCAGATTTTTAGTTGTCTGCCTTCTGGGACCAAGGCCTTTTACGGACCAGCCCGCATTTTTCATCTATATTTACGCATACTACCATCTACAGTACACCTACAGTAGATCTGAAAGGCTGAAAATAAGGTTGAAGTCATCCCTAGACTCAGTGCAGAAGAAAGCTCGTGGAGTATGTTTATCAAAGTATAGTACTTATTTTAACAAAACTTAAGCCTTGACACATATGGTGTGTCAAGCAGTCCCACGCGGTAGCCATTACTTGACACACCATGTGTGTCAAGCGGTCGTCAATGTGTTAATTAACACATTGACGACCATGCAGTTTTTTAGCTGTCTGCCTTTTGGGACCAAGGCCCTTTTACGGACCAGCCCACCTTTTCAATTACAATTACGCATACTGCCATCTACAATACACTTACAGTAGATCTGAATAGCTGACAAAAAAGGTAGAAATCATTTCTAGATTCTATGCAAAAGAAAGCTCATGGAGTGCGTTTATTAAGTAGTGCCTTGCATTTGTGAAATCATTGTATCGCTGTTGTTTGCAGTCACATTCCCCACTTCGTAAGGTTCGGGGTGGTACAGAGTCAGAATCATTGCAATCGCTTTTTCCCATTTTTGTAAGAGTGCTGCTAATGCTTTGAAACAACTTTTTGAAGAACGTTTCTGCATGGAATGCCGTTTTTAAAGGCAGCGTCCAGGCAAGTCTGGACACATGGGGATCTCACGTGGATAGTAATTTTGAAGCCCTAACTAAGCCACCGCCCAACCGGCAGCTCAGGTAGTGCTCTAACGGCTGAGATATTCCCCCCGAAACTGGACCCCGCGATCGTATTTCGCATGGATTCATGGCGCAAAGCGTGTGTCCTGGCGCGAAACTGCCATGAATCCATCCGAATGGCGGGGTCCAGTTTCGAAGGGAATATCTCAGTCGTTAGAGCACTACCTGCGCTGCCGCTTGAGCAGTGCCTTGATAAGGGCCCCAAAATTACTATCCACGTGAGATCCCCATGTGTCCAGACTTGCCTGGACGCTGCCTTTAAGATTACTCTGAATTGATATGAGATATAATTATTCCGATAGAATTGCGCCACTTGACATTTAGTCATATAACGTCATTTATCCACATTATATGATACTTTATCAATGCGTCACTCTGCGCCTCAGAGGTTCCCACTGGTCTCTGGACATGTATGCTTTCTTCCTGCTCTTGCGAAAAAAGAATTTTTGTTTCAAAGTGGAAGTAGTCAGCGCAGCGTACTTTTGCTTACAGCGTCCGAGCATAATGAGAGTCCTGCTTTCAGCCTACTAAAATAAAAATGGACCTTACCGAATGATATCGAGCACCGCGAATGGATTGCAAGAAACTAATCATTTGCTATCGTTCTCATGAAACTCTCTCACCCACTCTAGGGGTTATGACTGGTTTAAGCTTTGTTCTGAGGAAAAACCTCTTCAACATCATACTTGGAAACCTTACAAACTCGACGATTTGCTCAAATGCTTCTTGAGTCGTTTCATTAGAAATAGCCGTTTTGTTCGATTTTTGTTGGGGTGTACCCCACAGATATCCGAAATCTAAATCTACGATTTCGCAAAAAACGATCTAATGGGAAATCTGCATGGCTGAAATGTGGATCCGTATGGCGAGCAGTTCTTGAGTGAATTTACGCACTAAATCCGGCGCTTCTGCATGGTGGGTTTACAAGCCGATAGCATCAATTATGCAAAATTTGGACTCACGAGGTTGGCTGGAAACACGTGCACACGCGAACAAAATCACGTAAAGCCCTTATCCCGTAGCTGTAAATCATAATGATAAGCAAGGTAAGGCATTATAACCTAGTGTTCTATCGAAAAGATACCACGCACCAAAAGAAAAAAGCACACACTCGCAGGTCAACAACTAGTAATAGCACAAAAACTCAGTTGTAACGAAAAACCAAATATCAATCATTTTATTAAAATGACATACTACACGGCTGGTTGTCTTTACAAGAGAGTATCCATCTTTGAAACGTCAACCGGTAATGCCAACTTTCCTTGTGCATAGTTCAAAATTTACCTCACTATATTTGAAGTTGTGATGCCTCTGTTCCAAGTGACTAATCACTATTGAGGCTCAGACATTATGATATATACAATACAGTTCGTAAATTCTGCAAGAAAACGGCGGCGGCGACTTCAACTTAGACGGCGTCCCGTAAGTAGGAGGCGGCAGTGACAGTTTGCCGAAATTTGCGTCGCATCGCCATATAACGTTTAGACAGAGTGATATTGAATTCAAAGTCAACATTTAACTCAGCTTGGCGAAGCGCATCTTTTAAACTAGAAGTGCCACAGTCTAAGGATATGGTAGTATACGGTAGGGAGCTAGTTTCGCGAATTTTTTGATTTTTGTCGATATGAACTACCCAGAGTGCTGAAAACGTATTTAACTTGATGTTGGCGGCATCTTGTAAGAATGCTGTAGGAGTACGGTAAAAAGTCATTTTGCTTTGTTCTGAAGTCATGAATTATATGCTGCAAACGGATTTTTATAAGAGCGCAAACCAGTACTCAATGTAAGTTGAAAGCTCTGGTAAACATCATTCGATAGAGTAGCTTCAGGAGTTTCTTTACAGCTACAGAGCGCAAAGAATCTTTGAAGTGGAGGCTAAATGGCTAAAAACTTCGGAGAATCCATAATTATCTAGAATCTAATCACCTTAGCTTTACAACAAGAAGCTATCATGCAAATATAGGTGACATTTGTAATCATCAGGTCGGATAACCTCTATGGACAAATTTTCTTAGGCAACTGGGCCACTTGATTTTTGTCATTCTTGCGCTTGACCTCGCCGCAGGTGGCTGAAATATTGATGATCATGAATTGACCAGAGACTTACAATTTTGAACCCCATGCTTACAAACCTAGTTCTTTCGCACTAAGAGTCTTACAGTGGAACTATAATGAAAAAGATATAGCTGAACCGCTCATGATTGCAACTTCGCCTGCACTTTTCGCCCATATTAAAAAACTTGCCTGCATATTTCGCAAGTTAGAGATCGTGAACGACACTATCGGGGCATGTTTAGCATAGGCTCTTCCCTGCACTGTTTTTCATGAGCTTATGCACTGACGTTCTCATGAATTTAATCAAAATTTGAAGATTGTGTATGTGTATGTGTTGGCGAATTCCCGTCTCTACAATCTGCCCTCAACACCAAAACAATGTAAGAGATGTTGTCAGCACTTTGAGTAACCCGTACGAGCAGAAATCCGAGTAAATTTGCGAAGCACCTGTCGCTTTTTACCTACCATACCAATATCTTCTATATCAGATGATGCGCCTCGTAGAGCTAAGTTGAACGATTTCCATGGATTCAGGATTCGTTCACATTAAACACAATTATGGGGATGCGACGCAAATTTCGGCAAACTCTGGCGGCCGTCACTCAAGTTAGACAGTCGCCGCCGTTCCTCTTTTACGAATTACGGGCGGTTAAAGTCGTTTTATTGCTTTAATGCCTGCTGTTTAGTACAATCGGGAGTTAAATTATGTTCTTTCGACTTGCAAAATAAAGAGCCCATATGCACTCGCTATGCTTCGTTCAGCGAAGAGAGCGGACAAAAACGTAGGCGAGATGACGCCAAGAATTAGTCACACTTCTTCTTCTTCGATCCCACTCATTGCTTTTAGGAGTACAATGACAGCAATGACGTTGAGGCGTGCTGCTTAAATTATGAGAATTAAATAGACGGACTAGATAACCGCATAAAGCACCAGAGAAGCGCGGTTCGAACTGTCGAATAGCAACTCTCAGTTGAGCAGTGATTACAGTATACATATTTTTATTTTATTTCATGTATACACTCATGTGCGCCACATAAAAAACCAGAATCGAGCAGAAAATCTGGCAACATAAAAGATAAGACGTATTCGTCAGTCAAAGACCTGTTTTGTTTATTGTTCTTTAACAAACTTGGCAATGATTTCTTTGGAGATGATTCGCTGTGTTTTTTCGAATGACTCACAATTATAATGAACGGAACAAACCGGTTATTAGCGTTTATAAAGTACTACATATGTAGTGTCTTGAATTCTACCTTCTAGTAATGAAAGCCGTTTTCGCTCTGCTCTTATATGTCATAGTTGCAGTACATTTCATTCATGCAAAGGCGACACCTAAGCAGTCACGAGGTTTGTCTTCACAATACGTTTACTATAACTAGTCAAAAAATAGTCGCCGAATTCCATCGGAACTCACCGACAACACACGTCGCATCGCCAAATGGTTCAGAGTCCGACAAATTTTGAATCCTCAAACCAGCTCGTTGAGATGCATCTTCTGATATATGAAGCTGTGCGTCTGTATACATAGGCGACAAGATTCATGAACCTTTATAGATGAAATTGACCATCTACCCATCCAAACGAGAACTTTTCTAAATCATAGATGCATCTCGCCGAGCTGAGTCGAGCGGTAATCTCGAATTCAGAATTCGTCCACTCTGACCAAGATATGGCGATGCGACGCTTATGTAGATGAACTCCGGTAGAGTTTTGGCGACTTTTTTTTTATCTGATTATGAGCGGTATCCTAGCTCAGCCTAGAAGCGCAAGTTATTGTGACAACAGTCTGATTTACAGCAGAGATTGACTTTGCCCAACCATTAAAAATGGCAGGAGATGCTCGCAGTACAAGATCAAAACGAGCCCACTGCATCCCAAATCCAATATGCGTGGTAAGAAAGTATAAAATGAAGAAAGTTTGTCTTAGAAAAGATTCATTAAGTCTCTTTCAGCGGCGTGGAAAAGTAGTCCACTGTACTGTGAAAGTGTGCTAAACATCGCACCAATACGATTTGTCAGCGGTTGTCTGAAGCTACAACATCAAGTTCTTCATTAGTCTGGGATCACTATTATTTGGCCTAGGAATATTTTTTTATAATTGGAAAAGCGTATCAAAAAACGCATAGCTTGGAACTTTTTATGATTCTGTGTTGCTCATGAGCACCTAAACTCACTCTCACTTTCCCCCCTTGACGAATTTTTCCACAGATGTCGAGAACACTTGTAAACAGTTTTTTATTTTGTAATTGTCAGGAAATTGGCTTTTTCGTCGTTTTCCTTATAAATTTTTGCAAATTCAGAAGTTTTTTGTGTATGAATTCGACATAAATTACTTTTTTGGTTTTCTGTCTACATGCAGGATAAGGATGGATAGCTGAGTAGGTAAGGATATTCTAGGAAACACTTATCTGTTTAGAAAAAATCCTGATACCGTTGTGAACAAACACAGAATGCATGGCGCTAATTTTTAGCCATTTCTAGCTAGACACCGTCTGAGAGGAATTGATATGATAATTGACGAACCGAAGAGGCTACGAATTATTTCGTCGCTCGACTACACATTATTTCTATTCACTCCCATGAAATTGTCTATTTTGTTGCGATTTATAAGAATTACAGCAAAGAATCCTTCAACTTTTGTCCTCATACTAAGCCTCAAATGAGAAGGGTAACTCAAATTGACAATTTTCTGCTGGATAAAGGTTATTTGAAAATGAAATAAAATATGCAGTACAATACTACTCACAGAATCGGCAAAATTTCCGCGAATCGCGGAATTCCGGGTATTCCGCGAAAGTCCGCGACATTCCCGAAATTCCGCGATATTCCGCGAATTTTGCACATTCTGTGAGTGGTAAGTGGTATTATATTTGGTGCACAGATATTGTACTTTCTGAAGAATTATATAAATAAGAAGGTCTTGGTCTTGCAAGATCGCAGTTGACAAGTTCATCTATCCAGATGGTAAGCTGTGCGATTGCTGAGAGCTTCCAATTTTGCCCGATTTAGAAACGACGAATGGATTCTTCAATACTGGTTTTCAGAATTGAGGTAGATAAAACTTCGGATATAGAACATTCAAAATTGTTTTTGAGCTTTATGGTACAGTTTTTTGCTTGCACGTTAATTAGGTTACGAGGTTCTCGATTAGCTGTGACAAATGCGAACTTATTTGTTTTCTGCACCCATTTCAGCGTCAAGAGAGAAAATTTTAAAATATACTCGCTTTCGGCAAAACTGTTAATTGACTATGGATATAAACGCTTTGAAAGCACTTGTGCAGGAAGTGCTGGGAGATATTTCTGAAATTGAAAGACTAATCTAGAAAAATAGATCTATTTTCTGCAGATTTGCTCGCTATCTTCTGAGCTCGCACAAAAATATTCTCAAGATGATGACTATTTCAAGTAATTCAAATAGAAAAATCATGTTTCGATCCGCAAAAACTTTCAAAGTTGTCGTGTATTTGCTGCAGTTGCGTGTTTCATGACTTTGCCAAAAATCGAGACCACCGAAGAAATAATTTTCTGAAGCTAAAAGCAGCAGATTAGGAGAGTCCAAAATCATCATTTTGTAGTCCGAGAACTGCTTTACTTGATCCATACTTAACCCTTTACGAAACTTTGGAATGAAATTTCCAATAATCAACATAACTTTGAGCAGATTAAGTTGACGGGTGGAGAATTTTGGCAATTATCGCAAAAAGCGTACAAGATTGTGGTTCGAAAATGTATCTTTAAGAAAGAGAAAAAACCTGCATCGAATGCATGTTGAAACGCAATTAGATTTTTATTATGCGTGGTTTTATGGTGGTTTGAAAAAAAAACGGGCAGTTTTTTAGAAATATTCTAAAATTTTCAGAATGTTGGTAGACAAATCACACAAACAGTGTCCAATGCAGAATTTCCTCCTCTTTCCAACAACTATGTTTACGAAGTGCTGCTTCGACGAGCGCTGAACGGGTGTTGTAGTCGAATTCCAAAAGCTGTGCATTCTCACGCCGTTATCGCTCATTTGCTTCGTAATACTAGTGATAGTAATAACCGTGTCTTAGAATTTCAATATTTTGGTTATTACGCAGTGTTTGGTGCAATTGTGTGTCACGCGATTTTTTCAAAATTTAATGCTGTGCTAAAATAATTAACAATAGCAATGGCATTAGTTTCTGAAAGGTGGAAGAGGGGGGCGGGGCGGGGGGAGGAGTGGCAGCGATGTTAGGATTAATGAGCGTGAGGTTTGCCAACCCTCTGAAGCTGTTTGATGCAGTTGATTTCACATATAGCAAAAACGATATTCGTTTTGCTCTTCACTTCTAACAAAATACAGCTCGTGAGGCACCTGTGCCAAGCCCTGATCTTGGCATACAAAGATTTTGTGATGTTGTTATGTTTGGATATGTTTGAAGGTAAAGTGCAATCTTTGAACCTCATCGCAAAAAGTAGTGAAATATCTCCTACTTCATTCGGTTGAGCAAGTGGTCAACATCAACATTTTAACTGACATGGGAATGGTCACCAGCCGAAGTGGCCGAGACAAAGAGCATCCCACAACTTGAGATCCTTTTCATGCAGCAGCTCGCGAGTTTTTCGAGGAAATCTTTTTTGCTGTTTTTGTATGGTGGCATTTTCATAGCACAAATCGCTCAAAAACTTCAAAAAATGTTTTCGATGACGAAACTTTGCTGGGTAAGTGGTCTTAGCGCCCAAAGATTGCAGACTTGTAATTTACAAGACCACTTAAAATATTGACCGACCTTCGTATACCGTAATTATTGGGAAGAGACTCTGTAATAAGGCAAATACATCGCTTGTATGATAACACATCTATGCTAGGGTTTTTGAATATTTCGCAAAAGCTTTTCTCAAAGTGCGGAGCTAGAAAGCAAAGCAAGCATTCATTTTCATTGTATGTCGAGTGCGTTGTGGAAGCAAAGTGCTTTACGTTTGGTTTTTTTTTGATCAAAATTTAGAACTCAGTAAATCATATAGAAAACCAATTTCGCGATGAATTTGCCTCATCACAGAATTCTGCGGAGGGCGGAAGCCGAGAGGCCTAAAAGTATGTTAACCCTATGGTGAGTTTTGGGACTAGGTTGGCGATTAGGAATTAGGACGATTACATCAATATTTTTGAGCGTTGTACCGCACTTTTAATGATTCCTCATCCCTCAATCGTAAACCAAATGAAGGTTCAAAATCTCAATAAGGCATTCATTTTTGGAGCCGACTTGGGGCGCAACCAGTTTGAGCTATGAGAGCAAGTAGAGTGTAGCTGCTCTCCTTTTCAAACTTCATCGCGTCCAGCGCGTAGTGGTGTCTCATATTTTGAGATCGTAGCCCTACATAAAAGTTTGAATGTCAAAGGTTGCGGCGTCGAGCGGAAAAGAGCTCTGATTGGGGTGTTCGATATGAACTGGTCAAAAATGTGTTTGGCGCACAATGCTTGTCCAAGATTGGCACTAATTTTCATTTTTGTAGCGTGTATACTGTTTTCGGCTACGCTCTTTTACATGGTACCAATGGTTTCTTGCATTTCTTTCAGAAAGTCGAGAAACGGCAAAATTGGAGTGTTCGTATAATATGAACCGATCATTATATGCAACCCAACTGCACTCGTCAAACAAGCCCGTACCACAGGAAAAGCTTCCATATACAGATAAAGTGGGTTTTTCTGCATGACGAAACGTGACTCCGTACGGCAAATGCTGTTAAAATTGTCCTGCAAGATTGACTGGAAGTTACTTTATACATAACGTGCACTCCAATTCTCGTTTTAACAGATTATCATTTGTTCCGCTAGCTGACAAACCTTATGAATAGTGCACCTCTCGGTTGCAAAGAGTGTTCGAGCGCTAACCAGATGACTTTCTTGAGATCCGGCGCGTTGTCGTGTGAAAACTAAGATCCAAAAGCAATCAGAAAAGGTCAGAAAGTCATGCGCTAACCCGAGGAATACTTATTGAATGATTTAACTGAGGGTCGATGATTTTGTTGATTTATAAAAATGCTACGAACCTATGGAACGATCTAATACCAAATACTGTCCAAACGAGCTAGTTTTTGAGCTTGATATCCAACACAGAAACAGGGCAGAGTGGGCACAGGTACTGGTAGATAATAGGAGTAAAAGGAGTAGGAGTACGTATAATAGTAGTATAATAGGAGTACGCACCGTAAAATGATGGAAACGGACAGTGGTCATAGCATATGTGCATATCAGTGGCGTACCCAAGATTTCCGTTTGACAGGGAGGCGCGGCAAAAAAGTTTTTCAGAGGGCTGAATTAAATTTTTGAGAATTCAAAAAGCTTCTCAATTAATTACAAGTATAAACAAGTTACTGAGTCAAAAAGTCAAATATCGCTATCTCGCGCCGCTCGAAACCGCATGCGGCTGCTGCAGCACAGTTTGGCACATCTCCTGTTGGAAATGTTCCGGAATTTCGGGATCACTATGACCCCAGCCTACGAGTGTGCAACAGTTTCGTCAAGGTGGCTGGAGACGCGAAGTCTCTTTGTGAACCCCATCACCTCATTTGTCACTCTACAGCAGAGCGGGAATCCACAGATGGGTGAGGCTTTTCCCTAACAGCATTGGTCTTCTGATGTACCGAGCGCATTTCTTGCTTCTAAACTAACGCTATGGCTTCGCACCGGTGCAGTGGCACGTTTGAGGAATGTTGAAAATCTGCCAACTACTAAAAAATGACACATAATATGTAATTGCACGTTTCCGCTCTACACTCCAACACATTAGGAGCAGTTATTAAAAATAGATCCTTGCTTTTGAGTTAAGTACTGCCTGGAAGAGAAAAAGAGATGATTCTCCCAAATCTCGGTTTCTAACACCGCTTTCCTTTGCAGAACTGAATCTTGCATATCATCCTTACTGACATAGCGAAGCCTGCGATAGTCTCGAATTTATAACAAAGCGCCTGTGTGTTAAACGACAAAAAATACTCAAACACTCGAATAACTTCATCTTACAGAAATAACAAATGAAGACGCGATAAAACAAGCCCTAGTAATAAAAAAAACATAGAAAGTAACCACTGAAATGAACCCAAAATCAAACTGGTGAAGAATCTCATTGCTTAAAATTATGTACAGCGAACGATCTTATGTTGTACTTGATTATGGCACATCAGGTAGTGATGAGTTAAGACTCAATAATAAAAGCATCCCAGCAAGCAATGTCTAATATCTTAGATATAAGGGTTCCAAAAACTGTCCCATAAATAAGCAAGAGTTAGCATCTGCGGTGACAATGAAGAAGATGTGGACTTATTCTCTGAATAAAGTACTTAAATCATGTCGCTCGACCTAATGTGTTAGCAACAACTTTAAATTCTCACCACGCAAATCATCACGCAACGTTTTCTCCTTAGTCTACGCTCTCCTCCTGCTGTCTCAGGTGGTTGATCAAAGTCGTTACCTGTAGAAAGATACGAATCTTTATCTCAAGACACTCTTTTATTGAGCAACAATAACGGACTTCCGTACTGTTTGGCCATGGCATCCGACATAGGATACCCGTTGATGCATCGCGAGGCAGCTATCGCTAAAATGAGCAGAACGAAGAAGCACTTCATTTTTTGGCAAATCTTTCGGTGAAAACAAATATATGCCTAAAAACAGATTTACGGGAATTTACTGAACAAAACATAAACATGCTAACTGAGTGTGGTCAGGAATACCTAGAAACGACTTAAGGTTATCGAATCCAAAATAATATTCAGGGAGAATTCGGCTCAAAAAGTATGCTCCAACGAAACACTACGTGTGAGGCTTCGAGCATAGTTCATGCGATTCCGTCGCCTCGCGTTTCTGCCGGCAAGACAACTGTTACGAGTCCATTGCTTAAAGAGCACTTTGCATACAGCGGTAATAGCTAGTCACGATGAATCGTCTTGGAAATTACCAACCAAATTGCAAGAAAATCGGCATGCAATGTTTTTATGGAAACAGCTGTTTTGTTGGGAGAATCACGAGGCGGTGAAGTCGTGTGAAAACGCAGAGGCCTAAAGCGTTCGTAAACGAAGGAAATTACAGATAGATTAGTATACTACATAGACTGAGCGGCGGTTAAATGAGCCGAGCAGAACATGATGCGTTAGCTTAGCATTACTCTATATACTGCTAGCAATCATTCCAATGACTAATCTGCAAACCCGTCATCTACTCGAAATCCTGTTACACTGTATCTCAGTCTAGTCATCTTTGGTGCAATTGATATTTTAGTTAGACTTTTTAAATCATCTCAACGTCAGAAAGAATGAGTTTTGATAAAAAGGTTTCAAACCGAAAAAGGCACAGCTGATTCAGTGGTGCATCGTCTTTAATGAATCCCCCGCATTGTGTTTCAACTTGAAATGATGAAAAAACAAATCTCTTATTTGTAAGAAAGCCCACGTTGTGCTAACACAAGGGAAATTACCTCGTTTTAATCCGTTAACTTGTTTATTTTAGGGAATAGTGTCTGCTTGCACTTTTCTTGTCTCGAAGTTGCAAAAAATATGGTGCTTTTATCATTACGATGTCTTTTAATTAAATGAATAAATATTATGTTTATGTGTATAATGGCAACGTTGCTTAGAGAAGAAAAGAACTGGATACTAAGCTTTTACACGATTTCCACAAACAGAATGAGTCGGATGTCTGTGTGTAAGACATAATATTAAGAAGGAAAGCTGTATGTCCCACATCCATTTTTTAGGTAAGCAAGATGTACAGTGCACTGCTTTTAAATGTATATATTGAGCTAGACCGAGTTGAGGAAGCTCTATGGTGGTTCTTGTCACAGCTGCCATGCGATGCTCAATAACTCTCTTACACGACTGACAAAATAATATCTGGAATGTCTTGATCTTCTTATCTTAATCGGAAGTACATTTTTTGATATAATCTTTTACATCCAACTTGAATGCATCAGCGCTTTGATAGAAAAGCAGTAGATGAGCTGCGTGCTACCAAAAACCAAATTTTTTGTGAATATCGCAATAAGGTGCTGTCATCGCAGTTGTTCGAAGTTCTTGTGCGATGATTATTTTACAGATTTTAAACGAAAATAACTCACCACTTCCTTTCTGTTTTGGCCAGTTTTTGCTGAGGCCTTTTGGAGTTGCTTTCATAAATAACGGGAACTCCACTGTTTCTATGCATTAGTTTGAATCCAACAAATATAAAAGGTGCTTTAATGAGCAGTAACACTGTCTACTTTTGACTGAACTACAACAGTTGCAGTGTCAAACAGAAACACTGTAAATGATTGTGATTTTGTTTGAAAGTAGAACAAAAGTAACAAGTTCGTAAAGTTGTCTATACGTACACCACCACCAGGTATCTTGCACTCAAATTCGTTGTATGATCTCACAAAAGCAAGTGGAGTACGATTAAGTGACAGTTTTACATATTGTTCTATACACCATTAGTTTCTCTCAATTTATGTATACGTAGTAGCAAATGTTGTATTTCATTCAAGAGTACCTGACAGCGTTACTGCTCATTGAAGTATCTTTTATATTTGTTGGATTCAAACTAATGTAGAGAAACAGTGGATTTTCCGTTATTTATGAAAGCAACCCCAAATGACCTGTAATTTTTCTTACTCGTCATGATTCTTTGCACTGGAAGCGACTGAACTGCCCTACTTATGAGCGTACAAGCCGCACCTTGACTGCTCCTAGAAAAAAATGCCAAAAAAGTTTATATGTGATTCTTCACGAAGGAGCACATTGACTGGGGAAACTGTAAGGCTCCCGTCAGAGTGCCGAAGCCACGCCAGCGCTGCGCCGGCGCCGAGCCAGTGTCGAGCTAGCGCCGAGCTGTTCCGGCGCTCTTTTGATTGGTACACGTGCATTTCGTTCGGAGCGGGGCTAGCTGACCTAGTTCTCAAGGTAAGTGCACCGAATATTGACCGAAATTTCTGTCAAAAGCTCCGGTAGTGCTTTGCTGGCACAGGGTCAGCTAGACCCGCCCCGAACGAAATGCACGTGTATCGATCGAAACAGGGTCGGGACAGCTCGGCGCTACCTCGGCCTTGGCGGAGCACTGCGTGGCTTCTGCACTCTCGCAGGAGCCTAAGAGGGAGCAACCACTTGGCGGACGCAATCATGCCCAAAGATCTACCCGCGCTAACAAAGTGTGCGGCTTACACATCTGAAAACAAGGAAATAGATTGCACAGAAGCTTTTTTGCGACGAATTTACTTGCTGTTTATACCTTTCAAAATGTGAAAACACGCAGCACTTAAGGTTTCATTGAGCAAAACAGATGAAATCAAGTTCTAAAGGCATCATTGTGAGTCCGTAGAAGTACCAATGTAGGCCTGCAGGTGTCTCGTATAAAGCTCTTGGGTGTGAAATAAACGGCTACCCGCACTAAATTGAGGCGTCGCCCCATCGGCACTTGCGAATTATGCAGGTTATTTGTAGCTATATAGGCTCGTGACTTATAGCACGTTGAAATTCCAGTAGTTTTATCAGCCTCAGCAAAAACTGGCCAAAACAGAAAGGAGGTGGTGAGTTATTTTCGTTTAACATCTGTAAAATAATCATCGCACAAGAACTTCGAACAACTGCGATGACAGCACCTTATTGCGATATTCACAAAAAATTTGGTTTTTGGTAGCACGCAGCTCATCTACTGCTTTTCTATGAAAGCGCTGATGCATTCAAGTTGGATGTAAAAGATTATATCAAAAAATGTACTTCCGATTAAGATAAGAAGATCAAGACATTCCAGATATTGTTTTGTCAGTCGTGTAGGAGAGTTAGTGAGCATCGCATGGCAGCTGTGACAAGAACCACCACAGAGCTTCCTCAACTCGATTTAGCTCAATATATACATTTAAAAGCAGTGCACTGTACATCTTGCTTACCTAAAAAATGGATGTGGGACATACAGCTTTCCTTCTTAGTATTATGTCTTACACACAGACATCCGACTCATTCTGTTTGTGGAAATCATGTAAAAGCTTAGTATCCAGTTTCTTCTCTAAGCAACGTTGCCATTATACACATAAACATAATATTTATTCATTTAATTAAAAGACATCGTAATGATAAAAGCACCATATTTTTTGCAACTTCGAGACAAGAAAAGTGCAAGCAGACACTATTCCCTAAAATAAACAAGTTAACGGATTAAAACGAGGTAAATTCCCTTGTGTTAGCACAACGTGGGCTTTCTTACAAATAAGAGATTTGTTTTTTCATCATTTCAAGTTGAAACACAATGCGGGGGATTCATTAAAGACGATGCACCACTGAATCAGCTGTGCCCTTTTTCGGTTTGAAACCTTTTTATCAAAACTCATTCTTTCTGACGTTGAGATGATTTAAAAAGTCTAACTAAAATATCAATTGCACCAAAGATGACTAGACTGAGATACAGTGTAACAGGATTTCGAGTAGATGACGTGGGTTTGCAGATTAGTCATTGGAATGATTGCTAGCAGTATATAGAGTAATGCTAAGCTAACGCATCATGTTCTGCTCGGCTCATTTAACCGCCGCTCAGTCTATGTAGTATACTAATCTATCTGTAATTTCCTTCGTTTACGAACGCTTTAGGCCTCTGCGTTTTCACACGACTTCACCGCCTCGTGATTCTCCCAACAAAACAGCTGTTTCCATAAAAACATTGCATGCCGATTTTCTTGCAATTTGGTTGGTAATTTCCAAGACGACTCATCGTGACTAGCTATTACCGCTGTATGCAAAGTGCTCTTTAAGCAATGGACTCGTAACAGTTGTCTTGCCGGCAGAAACGCGAGGCGACGGAATCGCATGAACTATGCTCGAAGCCTCACACGTAGTGTTTCGTTGGAGCATACTTTTTGAGCCGAATTCTCCCTGAATATTATTTTGGATTCGATAACCTTAAGTCGTTTCTAGGTATTCCTGACCACACTCAGTTAGCATGTTTATGTTTTGTTCAGTAAATTCCCGTAAATCTGTTTTTAGGCATATATTTGTTTTCACCGAAAGATTTGCCAAAAAATGAAGTGCTTCTTCGTTCTGCTCATTTTAGCGATAGCTGCCTCGCGATGCATCAACGGGTATCCTATGTCGGATGCCATGGCCAAACAGTACGGAAGTCCGTTATTGTTGCTCAATAAAAGAGTGTCTTGAGATAAAGATTCGTATCTTTCTACAGGTAACGACTTTGATCAACCACCTGAGACAGCAGGAGGAGAGCGTAGACTAAGGAGAAAACGTTGCGTGATGATTTGCGTGGTGAGAATTTAAAGTTGTTGCTAACACATTAGGTCGAGCGACATGATTTAAGTACTTTATTCAGAGAATAAGTCCACATCTTCTTGATTGTCACCGCAGATGCTAACTCTTGCTTATTTATGGGACAGTTTTTGGAACCCTTATATCTAAGATATTAGACATTGCTTGCTGGGATGCTTTTATTATTGAGTCTTAACTCATCACTACCTGATGTGCCATAATCAAGTACAACATAAGATCGTTCGCTGTACATAATTTTAAGCAATGAGATTCTTCACCAGTTTGATTTTGGGTTCATTTCAGTGGTTACTTTCTATGTTTTTTTTATTACTAGGGCTTGTTTTATCGCATCTTCATTTGTTATTTCTGTAAGATGAAGTTATTCGAGTGTTTGAGTATTTTTTGTCGTTTAACACACAGGCGCTTTGTTATAAATTCGAGACTATCGCAGGCTTCGCTATGTCAGTAAGGATGATATGCAAGATTCAGTTCTGCAAAGGAAAGCGGTGTTAGAAACCGAGATTTGGGAGAATCATCTCTTTTTCTCTTCCAGGCAGTACTTAACTCAAAAGCAAGGATCTATTTTTAATAACTGCTCCTAATGTGTTGGAGTGTAGAGCGGAAACGTGCAATTACTTATTATGTGTCATTTTTTAGTAGTTGGCAGGTTTTCAACATTCCTCAAACGTGCCACTGCACCGGTGCGAAGCCATAGCGTTAGTTTAGAAGCAAGAAATGCGCTCGGTACATCAGAAGACCAATGCTGTTAGGGAAAAGCCTCACCCATCTGTGGATTCCCGCTCTGCTGTAGAGTGACAAATGAGGTGATGGGGTTCACAAAGAGACTTCGCGTCTCCAGCCACCTTGACGAAACTGTTGCACACTCGTAGGCTGGGGTCATAGTGATCCCGAAATTCCGGAACATTTCCAACAGGAGATGTGCCAAACTGTGCTGCAGCAGCCGCATGCGGTTTCGAGCGGCGCGAGATAGCAATATTTGACTTTTTGACTCAGTAAATTGTTTATACTTGTAAAAATTGAGAAGCTTTTTGAATTCTCAAAAATTCAATTCAGCCCCTTTGAACTTTTTTGCCGCGCCTCCCTGTCAAACGGAAATCTTGGGTACGCCACTGATATGCACATATGCTATGACCACTGTCCGTTTCCATCATTTTACGGTGCGTACTCCTATTATCTACCAGTACCTGTGCCCACTCTGCCCTGTTTCTGTGTTAGATATCAAGCTCAAAAACTAGCTCGTTTGGACAGTATTTGGTATTAGATCGTTCCATAGGTTCGTAGCATTTTTATAAATCAACAAAATCATCGACCCTCAGTTAAATCATTCGTATTCCTTGGGTTAGCGCATGACCTTCTGACCTTTTCTGATTGCTTTTGGATCTTAGTTTTCACACGACAACAGTGAGGATGATATGCAAGATTTAGTTCTGCAAAGGAAAGCGGTGTTAGAAACCGAGATTTGGGAGAATCATCTCTTTTTCGATTCCAGGCAGTACTTAACTCAAAAGTAGGGATCTACAGGGTGTCCCAAAAAAATGTTAACACTGTTTGATCGTTAATAACTCCCTTGTTTCAAGTCTTTCGCCGAGCTTGAGACACCATTCTGTAGGGCGAGGTTCAACCTAGATTTACAGTATGGAGCGAATCACCGTTCGCTCTTCGTTACGGTAAGACTACGGTAAGAATTTCCAGCATGGTGGGGCCGTTGTGAAATATGCCCTCTGATAAATGTTTTTCAAAAAATCTGAAAAATCGCGTACTAGGATCTTCGCGCACGCTCATTTTACTACACAACTTTTTGCGAGTGTTTTCAGCTTTTTTGACGGTGTAATCACATTTTTGACACATGCTGGGAAGTCAGTTATTACACTTTACCTAGGATAACTTCAAAAGAAGTATCATAATAAAATGGAAATTTCATATCCGAAATCAGCGGCTTTCACTACCATAGTACAAAAGATTTTGGCTTGTTTGGCTCTGTTTCGAAGCAGAAAATGGTCTTTGATGGCCTAAAATCCTTGTCAGAATTCCTACCGTAATTCTACAGTAACGAGAGAGTTAGATGATTTGCTCCATATTGCAAATCTAAGCCTATCCTCGCTCTACAAAACGGTACCTAAAGCTCGGCGAAATACTTGAAAGCAAGGGAGCTATGAACGATCAAACAGTGTTAACATTTTTTTGGGACACCCTGTATTTTTAATGACTGCTCCTAATGTGTGGAGTGTGGAGCGGAAACGCGCAAATATTACATATTATGTGTCATCTTTTAGTAGTTGGCAGATTTTCAACATTCCTCAAACGTGCCACTGCACCGGTGCGAAGCCATAGCGTTAGTTTAGAAGCAAGAAATGCGCTCGGTACATCAGAAGACCAATGCTCTTAGGGAAGAGCCTCACCCATCTGTGGATTCCCGATCTGCTGTAGAGTGCGCACACCACAAATGAGGTGGTAGGGATCACAAAAAGACTTCGCGTCTTCAGCCATGGCGAAGCTGTTGCACTTGTAGGCTGGGTTCATAGTGATCCCGAAGTTCCAAAGTAGTTCCAACAGAGTTCTCACTGTACTGGACTGTGCCGAACTGTGCTGCGTGCGCTACTGCCGCCGCATGCAGTTTCGAGCGGCGCGAAATAGCAACTTTAGACACGGTTCATAGCAAATTTTGCTCTTTTCACCTCATTCTTGTGTCTCGCTTTTTTCCGTTGGTGTTCCATACAAATTTCTTGGTCGCTTGAAACACCGGTATGAGTTGAACATAAACTAATAATTAAGTTTTTGTTTCTACAGACTGCCTTAAAACGGGTGATTCAGAGGTAAGCCTATTATCAACACGGGAACAGCTATTTGTTTGGGCGAAATCTGCTATTTGTCTGTGAAACACAGAATACATAAGCTACATAAATGACGCCAATCTTCAGCCTTTTCTGGCTAGACATAGTCTCAGAGGAAACGGTGCGGTGATTGAGATATCGAGTCTTGAATTACCTGTTTTTTTCTCAAATACAGATTACTCTCTTACTCCCATAAAATCCATCTACGTTGCGATCTATTGGCATCAAAGGAAATCCATCAAGTTCTTTCCTCATTCAAAGTTTTAGATGCGAGTTGTAACTTAAAGTGATAATTTTTTAGTGAATAAAGTTTATTTGAAAATAAGATAATATTTGCAGTACTTAGTGCACAGATACTGATCTTTCTGATAAGTTGTATTTACTGAGGTTCTTGGAAGCTTGCTATTGACGCTTTTATCTATGCAGATGATGAGATGTTGTGATTGTTGAGAACTCTGGAGTCGAACAAAATTTGCTACTCTCAAGTTGATAACTATTTTAAATAACTCATAAAGCAGAAAAAACCCTACCGTAATTCCTGAGTCATGACAGAAAATGCATAGTTTTTCCCAATAAGTTTTGTTCACATAAAAGTGTCGCTACAATAATTAAAGGAATGATTACAATGAGCAGTTTGCTGGATGTATCAGTGTACTAACTTTATTGAGCTTACTGCCGATGCCTTGGCGAGCAGAGATTTCACCTTCTTTTCACTGCAGTTTATGAAAATGATGGTAAACTCTACGCAGTATTAACGCTCATTCTTCCTTTTCCGGCAACGCTGCATTGTAGTAAATAAGATTTTCAGCAGTTCTAATCACAGTGTCTTGTAGATACTAAACACAAACTCCAAATATTAAGAGCTATTTGGTTGAAGTGAAAAAATTTCGAGCCACCAGAGTTTCATATAAATGAGAGCGTTCTGTGAAAATTTTTATGTCACTTTATGGGCTTGAAATTTCTGTAGCCAAACGTGTCGAGCTCTGATTTGACAGAGCAGAAGCTAGGAATTAGCTGGTAGCTGAAACATAAAGATATAGCTTAAATTCTGTTCAGTTCGTAATTTGGTGTATGCATTGTTTTTGCCTTCCGGTTGAACTCCCCTTGCCAAGGCAAATGATCGAAGAGTTCCAATAGGTTTGAAACATAAGTTTTGCATGAAAACAAATCGGAACCTCAATGAGTTTTTCATGTTTTTCCTATTTGCAGATTAGGTTCTGAAATATTATTGGATAGATCAGAGCAAGCTCTACAAGATATTCTTTGAAGATCGACGCAACTTTGATACACGCAAAGTCTGAAGCCGAAGACCAAATTCAGGTTGCCCGAGAAGTCGACAAAACATCGATACTTTGTTCAAATAATCCTGCAAGCCCTGCAACTTGCAAAAAATATATTTCACGTCAGGCATTTAGTGGGTATATACACTATCTACAGAGGTATACACTAAATGCACACTTACCTTGGCTGGTCGATAAAAAAAATTTTTACCTTTGCTGAATTAACTCTGAACTGCCTAACTTCTTTATTGAATTATAAGCCTTTAACAATGTAAGCGTAAATTTTCAGCCTTTTACAACAGTTAGTCTTTGAGAAGTAAATCAAGCTAACCAATCTAACTCATTTAATTCGAGCTCCAGTGCCAATTCCGATACTCCCCGACGACCTGCTGTAGAAGGAAAAAAATCGCTGTTGTACGATAAGGGGCTTGCGATATGCAATTACTTATGCGAGAACAGCTTACGTTGCTTTTATAACGACAAATTTTCAGTTTTCCGAGTTCCAACTCAGACAATCACAGGCTCTCAGCCGGCAGCCACAAAGCCACCGCGAAAACCCACCAAAAGTGCGGTGGCCTCATTGCCTCACTGTCGCTTCCCGTTGAGAACTGGCAGCGAGCGGGCTGCTATAAAATTTTCAGCGCGAAGCGAAAAGCCTTCAGCGCGAAGCAAAAGCGGCGGTTTCGCTTCGCGCTGAAGGCTTTATAGCAGTCCGCTCGCTGCCAGTTCTCAGCGGGAAGCGACAATGAGGCGATGAGGCCACCGCGCTTTTGGTGGGTTTTCGCGGTGGCTTTGTGGCTGCCGGCTGAGAGCCTGTGATTGTCTGAGAAGACTAAAATTACGGCAGCTGCATACATGAATATTTTAGCGTGTATGCTTGAGCAAATTAGGATCGTATAAGATTTTTTGGGCTGGAGATTTAGTTTTCTCGATTTCTTGGGCTTTCAGCTCCTAATTTTTGTCGCCAAAATTTC